GAATGCACGCAGCTGCCGGGTGAATCTTACACCTCTTATATTGAGGATGTCCCTGTGCACTGTGCAAGCGCGTTAACAGCGGCATGTCTCAGAACGACCAAATACGCCACATTATTAAAGGCATTAACACCGTCGCCCTAAATGCCCTCGCCACGCAAAAATCCTGCCACCACTCAAGACGTGATAACCATCTGTCAGCGACTTGACGAGCTTCAGTCTCTTCGCCTTTGCTACGATGCCACCGACATTCGTTTGCCTGCACTCCTCGACTTGCGTGCGCTTATTCGCGACATCGTTCGTGAAGAGCTTCACGGGCGCTGCTCTTCCTGTGCTGCGGAAGTTACTTTCCCTTCTGAAAAAGATAGCTTGCGAGACCTGATTAAACAAGAGATCGCCTCCGCATCGCGTCCGACGTGTTCCAACGGTCTCTGCATGTGCCAGACGCGCACGTACGCCGAAGTTGCCGCGCTCTCTGCCGCACCCACCGTTTATGTGCCTACAACAGCAGACCATGCGCCTGTGGCTTCGTTATCACCGCCAGTGCGTGCACCACCTTACTACGCACCTCAGCGCCCACCTCGACCAATCTGTTACTACTGCGGCTATCGAGGACATATCGCTCGGTTTTGTCGAAGGCGCCAAGAAGACGAGCAACGCGGCTACGCTCCTGAAGAACATCAAAGCTTCCGTCCGACCATGAACTGCCTACGACCACACTCCCAATCGTCCTATTACCGTTCGCCGTCTCCTACCTACCATACTGACATGCCTGGGAATTCCCGTACGTCTCGCCGCAGGTCGCCTTCGCCAGGTCGCTGTTCAGTGTCACCTCTACGGCCCGCCTCCCATTCCACGAACGCCCACGTGGAAAACTCCCCAATGCAGTTTTAGGAGGGGAAACTGCATCCCTTGGACAGCTAACAATTCTTCCAGAGCGGCCATCGAATTTGATAGTAGTGTTTGTAGAAGGTGTACGTGTTGAGGCTCTTGTAGAAACTGGCGCTGCCGTTTCGATTATTCGTGCTGATTTTTGTTCCCGCCTACGAAAAGTCACCACACCTTATGGCGGCCCACCTCTGCGTGAGGCGACCAACGCTCTCATTCGTCCACTTGCACAGTGTACCGTTCGTGTCTGCATAGAAGGCATTCGTCATCACATTGTTTTCGCGGTATTTCGTGAGTACACCCACGCTCTCATTCTGGGGTGGGATTTCTTGTCTTCTGCGTCCACTTTCATATCTTGTCATCAGCGCCTCCTGCATCTAAATGCCACTGACTCTTCTTCGCTTGAACACGATGGACGCATCCGTCTTGTCACCATGTCAGATTATGTACTTCGACCATACATCGAAGAAATTATAAGTGTTAATTGCACCGACATTGTGGATGGTGACGTACTAATTCTGCTTTACGGCCATACCCTACGTAGGGGCATTGTGATCACACCAGGGCTTATTCGCTTCTTCTCTAGGTCTACGTACCTAACCGCCATAAATCAAACGCCCGAGTGTGTACTGCTGCCCTGTGGCTCAACAGTATCTTGCGCGGTCGACAGTGAGCCTGTTGCGATTGTTACTCTTCCGAACAACAACCACAACGATGTCCCAAAGTTACAATCACTGCCATTCAATGCCTCTTCCACACCTGTGTCGGCAACCATAAGCACTGACTTAACACCTGGTCAAACTGAAGATTTGCTCGCCCTGTTAAATAGACACCGTTCTCTATTTGACGTGAACTCGCCCGCCCTCAGTATGACTACCACCGCTACTCACAGCATCCAGACTGACGGCTCTCGTATTGTGCATCGGCGTCCATATCGCGTGTCTCAGGCAGAACGCAAGATCATCGAGGAAAACGTTTCAGACATGCTACGACGCAACATCATACGTCCTTCCTCGAGTCCCTGGTCATTCCCAGTTGTTCTCGTTCAAAAGATAGATGGGACAGTGCGTTTCTGCGTCGATTACCGTGTGCTAAACAAAATAACGCGCAAGGATGTTTATCTCTCCCTCGGATCGACGATGCACTGGATTCATTACAGGGCGCAGAGTATTTTTCTAGCCTTGACCTTAGGTCGGGCTACTGGCAGATACCAATGTCGGAGTCTGATAAAGAGAAGACCGCCTTTTCAACGCCAGATGAGTTGTACGAGTTTAATGTGATGCCTTTTGGACTGTAATGCGCCCGCCACCTTCGAACACATGGTATTCGACGTATTGCGTGGTTTGAAATGGAAAACGTGTCTGTGCTATGACATAGTAGTGTTTTCATCCACGTTCTCGCAGCATCTACAACGTCTGGACGAAGTCCTCACATGCCTTGCAAAAGCCGGTCTACAGCTTAACACAAAGAAATGTACCTTTGCTAGCAAGACAATCAAGGTTCTCAGCCACCTTGTCAACAAAGAAGGAATTCGGCCCGACTTCGAGAAGCTTGCCGCCATCCTCGATTTTCCTCGTCCACTACGTCGAAAGGACCTGCGCAGCTTTCTTGGGTTATCTTCTTACTTCCGGCGCTTCATACGTGGCTTCGCGGAACATGCGTCTCCGCTCCATCAACTCCTCGCAAGGAACGTCCCCTTCATTTAGTCCGAAGACTGATAAAGCGCTTTTACGGCACTGAAGCAAGCCCTCACGTCGGATCCGATACTGTGCCACTTCGATTTCGCCGCACCCACCATCCTTCACACCGACGCAAGTAGTCATGGTCTTGGTGCGGTACTCTTGCAGCGTGACAAAAACTCACGCGAACGCGTCGTTGCTTACGCAAGTCGTGCTCTTACCGCTCCAGAAAAGAACTACACTATCACCAAGCAGGAGTGCCTTGCTGTTGTTTGGGCAGTGCAAGGATTCCGACCATATCTTCAAGGCCGTCATTTTATCGTCGTGACCGACCATAACGCCCTATGCTGGCTTTCATCGCTGAAAAACTTATCGGGTCACCTCGGTCGCTGGGCGCTTCGCTTGCAGGAGTATGATTTCGATGTTGCCTATAGATCTGGGAAGAAGCATCAAGATGCTGATGCTCTGTCGCGCTGTCCTTTGCCCAGCGGAAGCTACTCACCATCGATACTCCAAAACGACAGCACCTCTCCAATCGCAGCGCTAAGTTCATCACCTGCCACCCTATCCGTCCTTGTTTCACAACAACGTGTCGACCCATACTGCCGCACCATTGTTGACCGCTTGACCGGCTCTACTACTCCTCCAAACGCCAAACTCCGTCGACAACTTAAACAATTTAAGCTTGTTGGTGAGGCTTTATGTCGCTACATTTACCACATCGATGGCAACAAGTGGGTACCTGTCATCCCACGTTCTCTGCAACGTGAAATTCTGGAAGCCTTTCATGATGGTCCAACCGCCGCTCATCTAGGCTATCACAAGACTTACGACAAAATACAAAGTCGTCGTTTTTGGCCTGGCCTCTCTTCAGCCGTCGCTAAGTACGTCGTCTCCCGTGTCCGTTGCCAACGGCGAAAATGACCGAAAACTGCTCCGGCTGGCTTAATGCAACCTCTTCCTTGTCCCGCCTCGCCTTTTGAATGTCATTGTTGGAATCGACTTGTATGGCCCTCTTTTTATATCATCCAATGGGTCGCTGGATTTTCACGGCCGTCGACCACCTTACCCGCTACGCAGAAACAGCTTCTATACCATCTGGGACTGCCACTGAGATCGCCGATTTCTCTCTTCGCCACATCTTTTTGCGTCATAGAGCTCCACGCATTCTCCTGAGTGATCGTGGCAAAGTCTTTCTCTCTTCCATTGTGGAGCAAGTTTTGCGTGCCTCGAACACTGTTCACAAGACCACTTTTAGCTACCACCCGCAGACCAACGGATTGACTGAACGGTTTCTTCGGACCCTAACGGACATGATCGCCATGTGCATTCACCCCAACCACACGAACTGGGTGCAATTCTACTCTTCGTGACATTCGCCTATAATACGGCTGCTCAACGCACTACCGGCTTTTCTCCATTTTTCCTCGTCCATGGTCGTTCGCCGAGTTTCGCTCTGGATGTCTCTTTCCTTTCGGTCCCTGCACCCTCGACGGCTCCTTTCTCTGAAGAATTTCTATCTGGTCTCGCACACTGCCGTCACCAGGCCCGTGTTAACACCGGCCTCTCTCAAGACACTCCAAAATCTCGCTACGACTCGTCTCGTCGTGTTGTCAGTTTTTCCCCTGGTGATGAAGTTCTATGGACTCCACTTCGCGTCCCCGGCCTATGCGACAAATTCATCAGTCAATTCATTGGGCCGTACACGGTGGTCGAACAGACATCTCCTGTCAATTACCCTGTTTCTCCTCTTAGAGCTAATCCTGATCATCGTTGCCGAGGAACAGAGATTGTCCACGTATCTTGTTTTAAGCCTTATGCGCGACGCATTTCATAATACTGTCAAGCGACCAGGCGGCCGCTTTCACCGCGCGGGGGAATTAGTGTGAGCGCGATAAGCGAATGACTCTTTATTCTCTTTGATAACATCATCACCTGTACATCTTCTTCATCTGTAAATATCAACACCAGCGTGATTTAGCTCGAGCCTGACTGAATAAACCGGTTACTCACAATATGTTTATTACAAATATCAGGTGTAATGGAGGTATATTTATATTGGATGAGGCTTCATAGAATGGAGGTCTGATTTTGTTTTTACGAAATTTCTAAATTGAGGTATCTTTGAGTCAGTAGTGACTTCATTGAATAGAGTCTAACCTTGCTTTTATTAGAACTTGTTAGATCATGCAATGTCTACATTTAAAAGTATGTATTTTGGGTTTGATGCAGTCATTAGTGCTTACTAGGTTATGGAAAACCTATAAAAATATTATTGATTGCAGTGTAGTTAGCTTTGAGTCACATATGTTATACAAGCCATTTTTTTTCCTTTGTCTTTTGTTTTATAGCATCTCTGGGGGCACGCTTGTGTGCACTAGAGGGAGTATGAATTTGCTAACTTATTGGTTCCTTTTGTGCTCTTTGGTCTTACAGAGACAAAGTTATGCACGCACAAATGGAAAAGAAGATAGAAGAGCAAAGGCAATTAATTCGTCAGTTGCAGTCTAAAGAACGGTCTATTGCTGCCGAGCAGCAGCATCGAAAAGGAAATGACAAGTTGCGGATATTCTGATAAAAACAGTGAGTTGCTTTTTTATCCCACCTTGTCTGATTAAAACAAATGGCATTTGAAGAGTATGTTAGCCCATCTCACTTGTTGGCACAGAGCACTTGAAATACGGCTGCCATTAGAAGTGTAACCAGACATTTTTTTTCTTTTTTGTGGAGGATGGGTGGGGTGAGAGCGATTAACCATGCGCTTGTCATTGTGTGCCTGTATACACATATGCAGAAAGAAAAGTTGACCCCTTCCACACCCCGACTGCGCCAGTGGCTGCCATTATCATTTTCAAAAAGGTTGGGCCTTGTTTGTCTACCAAAAGTGTGGATTTTAAAGAATTGCATTACCTTGTTTTTTGCAGATCCTGCGACTACCTTGTGTTTGCAGTGGCTGTGTGTGAGTGTGTGTGTGTGCGTGCCATCTTGTGTACACCTTGTTGAAGTTGTTGGGAAAAAAAGTGAGTGTGAAATTGTGCAATTTTTGAATAAAGGAAGGGCAGAGCCTTTTTGGGGTAAAAATGTTATGCTCAAAGCTATTGTGTAATTTCCAAGCTCCTGATGGCATGTTAATATAGAAGTCATTATCAAGGCTCTGGTGACAAATATTACTGTGCTGGGTACCTATATGTAATGAACTGTGGCTGTCTGGTGACCACTTCTGATTTTGAAAAAATAAGCTAGAGCATATTCCTTCCTCCAAGTGCACGGAGGAAGGAATATACTGAGGAGAGACTGTTATGTCACATTTTGTGAAGCGGGGCGTAGGGAAGAGTAGAGGACTCCTCCTCGCAATGTTGGGCACACTGCGGCCGCTTGCACGTGCGCAACGGGCGCAAGCAAGAGGGAGCTGCGTGAGCAAATTTCAGGCGCGTCAGGCGGCACTGCCGCCCCCTTCTAAAAGACGAGCTAGAAAGTGGTAACTTTTGTGGTGATCATGAGCAAACCTGCTGCGATACTCGCTTGTATAATGCCTGTGTGCCATTGGCAGCCTTATTACGGCTTATACTGTGAATCTACAATACACTTGCGGCTTTGCACTTCGTGTTTACTCCGCTGAATGTGAGAGAAAAACGGCTCGAATCATCCGTATAATCTCCACGACGGGCTGTTTTCTTCTGCACATCGGGTAAGTTCGGGGTACAGAACATATGTGCTTTAACAGTGAATGGTATTAAATTTGTTTTGCTCTTTAGCCAAATGAAGCATCTTCGAATTATTTTTTGCCTTGTGTGTCATGATACGCATGCAGGAGTATCATTCGCAGCAGCACGGGTCGGCCGACTGCGACCATATCGAAAAAAACTTGTGGCCCAAGATGAGATCACCGTGCGTAAAACGTAAACAGGAAGCGATAATTCAAACAATAAATCACCTTACTGCGGCAGGCACGTGTCATTTTTGACTTAGCAAGCTCCGGTGAGGACAGTGGGACCCATATTGCTTTCCGATAGTTGTGACCGTCGTACACGAAAATGGCTCACCACTGCCTCTCTCTCATTAACAGCCGTAAACGCTGCTGTTCTTGTCTAGGAATTCTATGCTTCCTTCTCTCAGGTGTGCAACAGCACCGTTCTCAAGGAAAACTACAAAGGCTGTGGTGCCATTCGTTTTCGAAGATGTGGTCACGAGCTTCGAAAACGACTCGACTGCTTTCAAACTCAAGCGATATAAACTAAACTTGTCACCCTGAAGACCAACGCTCACTGTAGGCTTCTAACGCACTGCATCATCTTTGAAGTGCAACAGCTGCATGAAAATCCACATTCAGAACTCCAGCTGGCCATCAGCAACGCGGTCATAGATGCAGACGACACGAGATATGCCGGTGTGCCCAACGAATCCCACAATCCCCCTGGAAAAGCACGTGACCTCCGCCCGAGGAGGCTCTATAAAACCTCTGGAGTGGCAGGCCCAGTCGCCGCCAATGGGAGCAAGCGAAGCCGCCGGTGGCCATATTGCTAGAGGAAAATCGGCGCAGAACTACCATAGGCCGCAATGTCGGTTCGCAGTTCTACGATAAAAAAATGAGATGGAAACCACTTTTAGGTTACACCAACGAATGAATGCCTCTTCTTGTTTATGAAACAAATTATTTCATGCACCCATTGTCAGCTGCACACTTTCAGATCAATCTGTTGTCGAGGGATGCTTCGCATATCGAGCTCTCTGGCGCACTATTGCGGTACAAAAGGGTTGTAGTATATATTGGGTGTTTAAAGAAATGTGCCTGCAGATACCCAAGATCAAGAGAAACGCGACATTTGCTCGCCTCTGTCATATATGTTCTTGTGTGTGAGTCGGTAGATTACCAAAGAATATATATAAGGAAGTTGAAATAATTAAAGCTAAAGTTAGAAAAGAAAGGAAATTAAGTAAACTGGATGTCGCCAGTAATTCTTCTAGAGTTATCGAATTCCAACCAGATTATAGGCGGAACCAAAACCGAAGAACCGATGTCGCTAGGAACCGACAAACTCCAGGAGACGTACCCTAAATGAACCGTTTATAAGAACGATTGCAGTGGTGTTAGTTATGCATAATATTTATCAACTTCTGTTGGCGACGTGTGTTGTCATGGCAAGTGCAGCCTTCAGAGCCTAGAAACGAGGTAGCTCAATGTTTGATATAACGCCACTCACCCATTTTCGCAACTTCGTCTATCGGTGTTTTAGTTTCGATTTCATCGGCAAGATAAAATGGATTTCAAAGATGTCTCATCTTGTTTTAGACGCAATTGCTTATTTTTGTGACTACATTCTATTGAAGCTACGTCAAGGAGGTAGAAACTAACAGGTTTTTGCAGATGCGCTCGGAAAGCAGGAAAAATCGAAGGTGCACTGCCAGGCTGCAGTCTGGTTGTATGCCCCGTTCTGTCGAAGCAGCATTCTTCGAAGTGAATAGAACAGAGATGGTCACCGTCTGTAGCCCTTCAACTATTTCTTCGAACAGCACGTTCCCAGGCAGAACACAGCGCACTGTCCTTAGGAAACCTGTAACACGAATAATCACAGCATGGAATTCCTCGATAAACCTGCACCAAATTCGATATTCACTCGCCAAAAAAATAAGCATGCACGCCGCCAGTCTTGCCTTGTAAGACAACACCAGAAAACTTGGAATTCAAAGGGCATTCAGACGTCCTACTCGCTCCAATGTTTGATACGTGCAGCCACAGACTGCAAGTCCATAAACTTAAAACTCAGGGACAACGTCGTGTCAGTGAGCATTTAAAGCTTCAGGTTACCTTCCATACAGCTATATGCTATACGCACCTTTGATATTGTTTAACAAAATACGCGAAAAAAACAGGCGATCGTCCGCGAACGAAGCGAGAATATTTACATGTGAAAAGTGATCGCAGGCGTCTTCTTGATGCGATTTGTGCAGCCATGAGCAACGTACGAAGTCACCATGGCCTTGTAAAATCTTTAACTGCTTTACTAAAGCATGTTACAGTCTTCAAAGGCCACTGCGAGGGCGGAGCTACGAAGCGCACTTTGTCGTCTGCTTCAGAGTCTTTCCTTTTTCAACATGGCGGTGACCGGTGTCACTTATCGGGGTGCACCTCCACTCCAGAAGACATAGTACTGAACCTCCTTGCTTCCGCCACACTTTTCGCTCGCATTTTAAGGGCCTCCCTTTAGCTTTTCTTCCTCCATGGCCAAGCGACTAGAAGTCATAATTAGTTAATAAGCTAAGGTAATCAATCATTTGATTTCTTTTCCAAATACAACCTTATGAGCCTAACAGACAAAGGAGCCACGAAAGTATAGGGAATTATTTGTAGCCTTTATCTGCAATGTGGTAATTATGATGCAGATGTGAATGTATTAAAGTAGATGAAAAGACAATTTGCCCCTAGTAGATACCAAATCTACGACCTTCGAATAACATGTCCGATGCTTTTCTTATTTAGCTACAGTGGCGGGTGACCTCTCGTTCACATTATCTGGTGTTCCTTTGTATTGAAACTTGGGTGTGTTAGTCAGCGTCCCATACAGCCATGACGAGTGTTAAACACTCTTTCTTGCCAGCTGGCATCACGTAGTCATTTAACGTCTTCTTTTTCTTAGTTTTAAAGGAGCACTGACCCAAAAATTTCACACCTTACTTCTTTTTTATGCAATGGAGAGCTTATGACCCCCTTATCATGAATGGAAACCTCACTTACTTGAGTGCCCGACAGTTTATTTAGAGATGTTTTTAGAGCGCTCCGTCGCAGTCATGGTTTCAAAGAGCACTGAGCTGGGCATGAGTAGAGTGACCTAGAAAAGGCGGAGTGTCTAGGCCTGACCACATGAATGCATCGCAGCGTGTCAGCACGTGGCTTTTTTACACGGCGCCGCAAACTCTCCTTATGGGGAGAGAAGGCACGTGGCTACGTGAAGCTGCGCGCGCTTTGTCTCCGTAGGGAGAGTGCGCAATGCTTTGTCAGAAAGTCACGTGCTGATATGCTGTGACATGTACGTGTGGATCCTGCTCGCCCCCATAGTCGCCCACTTTTCTCACAGGCCTCACCAGTCAGTCCATTATCTCCTGCTTGCGCGCGACAGGCAAGCGTTGCGCTGTCACAAGAAGTATGAGCAGGCACGAAGCATTGCAGACGTTTGATGCTCTAATGGTGCGAAACTCCTTGGGGCTGTCTTTTTTGCTTGCTTCGACCTCATTTGCTCTAACGATTACGCCAAGAAACGTGACACCACTCAAAGCAGGAACAGATGCCTGAGAGCTGTGCTCTATAACTTGGAGTATGCTTGAGCTTCGTCTCGAAGAGTACAATGTGATAGCATAATCAGAGCCAGTTCTCATCGTCTTCTCAATCGCCCTTCTCGTCGGACACCCCTGCCATGCCACAATTGGGAAAGGACCGTGTATGCGCATTTAATGTGGCAGTGTCAAGTTCTGCCCACTACAACTTAATTCTTCATTTTAAGTTTATTGATAAACTAGGCATTGCGTGTCTGTAAGGCAACGTGCGCAACCTTCCTCCACCCCTTAAGAGTAGGGCAGCAATGGAGTGCTACAATTCTGGTGGACCTCTCTGCATTTTTTTCATTTTATTCTCTCTCTCTTAGTGCATTGTTGATGCTGTTTGAGATGATGAATATCAATTATTATTGAAAGCTTTGTACTCGATATTCAATTCAGATGGTGTGTCACCTGGTGCGATTCTACGCTTGTGTCACGAAACATTACATGCGTTGAGGACACTCCTTGCACTGCATGGTAATCATATACAGGTAAAATGTGATCTGAACAAAACTCCGTTTTACAAAGTTTTCGATATAATGAAAAAATTTCTGTCCGTTGAATACATCTTGAGGGTTTAGTATTGTTATTAAACTGAATTAACCAACTAATTGGGCCACCGAACCCCCCAAAAAACAATGTCTTCATTTAATAAGTTGCTTTACTACGGATGGCTACACCATGGCTACACACCACGTCCATGCAAAGAACTACGGTCTCAGCATGCAGTAGCACTGTTATGTACCGGTAGTTGCTAGACGCTGCAGTAG